TTTAATTTCTAATACATACATATGTTGCACATCTGTCTAGGAATAAAAATGAAAGTCCATATAGAGAATCCATAAGGCAAATTTCTTGGATTAATAAGACAATGTTGTTTTGCTTACATTGTCATCCAAATAATCAATCTGATGACATTACTCAAATAATATTAGAATTTGATAATAATGGACAAATTCAGAAAAAAATATTTGAGAACACTATTCATTTTACAAATTTTTTGCGAAGGTTGTATTACAATCCAACCTATGACATAATTCTTTGTGAGACTAATGAGGGTTCAATTCACAAAGGTAGTTTTTTTATATCGCTTTTTCTAAACTTAACAGTTTATTTAACTATTATTGACATTAATTTTTTTTCGCTGATCTTATTATAGTTATTATTGATCACAATGATCCAAATCATGCTGAACATTTTCTTGTTTCAGAAACACCTATTGTTTCTCTTCCTGAAGTTTGTAACTGGATTGGCACTGTACAACTCGAGTCAGAAAAAAACAAAGGGGTATAAAATCTTCGGAATTAAACATTTGTATAGGGCCAAGATTTTTTTATTATAATTAATAACTATCGTTGATTTACAGGTCTTCGTGATAGGATTGAGCGAGCATAATAAGTTATATGTTAATGAAAATTTGATTGCTGCAGACTGCACTTCATTTATCATTCATAATGACTTTATTATTTTTACCACATTGAGTCACGTCGTGAGATTTTTACCTCTTCATGCTAATTTACTAGGTAAATATTTCAGTATCAAATATTTTAAACCATTCAAAAAATTTTATTTTTTATTTATTATAATAATCAACATTCATATATGAATTAGATCTAAAAGTTCTTGATAGTGTGATTCAACCCTATGATGAGACTGTAAGAAGGGTTGAAAGAGGATCAAAAATTGTATGTGCTGCGTATTATGATGTATTCTTGGTGTTGCAGGTAAGATAGATACTAAGCTAAATATTACATTTGGGCCTCTTTAACATAAAGTATACGTTCCCATTTAGATGCCAAGGGGAAACTTGGAGACAATATATCCACGCGCTTTGGTTTTAGCATCAGTCCGAGATTTCTTGAATAAGTATGAATAAATATTTTTCCTTTGTCACGTTATTAAGTTTCATTATGCTTAAATTTTTTACTTTGATATTGGTTTATTGCATAGGTGTGATTATTCATCGGCCTATAAAGCATGTCGGAAACATCGAATTGATCTAAATATACTACATGATCATAGTCCTGATTTATTTTTGAAAAATGTACAATCATTTGTCACTCAAATCAAAAAAGTTGACTATTTGAATTTGTTTTTGTCAAGTTTAAGGTACAATTTCTTTGTAAAAATGCAATTGTCATTAAAGTCAATTATTTTATTCTACAACTTGTTGTGCTCCATAAATTGATGTTATTAGGAATGAGGATGTAACTGTAACAATGTATCCTCAAATTGGAGATAGTTCTAAATCTTCTTCAAAGTAATTTAATATTTTAAATCTTGATTTTCATGTTCATGGCCTTTTGATTATGTATCTGAAGTTTTGTTTATACTTTTATATAACACCTTAGTTCACATGACGTGTCCACAAAAGTTAACACTGTGTGTGATGCTGTACGTGCAGTATTAGAATCTATGGACACAAAAATATATCTTCAATCGATAATAACATCGTATGTTAGAAAAACACCACCTGATTTGGAGTCCGCATTGAATTTACTAGCAAAATTAAAAGGCTTGTGAGATTCATTTTTTCTGATCATTTGTTCCTCTCAACCACAAGTATCAACCATTTACATTATTACAGATCAAGATATGGATTTAGCAGAGGATGCGATCAAATTTGCAATTTTTTTGGTCGATGCGGATCGACTTTTTGATGTCGCTTTGGGAATGTACGATTTCAGTCTTGTTCTTATGGTTGCTCAACAGTCACAAAAGGTATTCATTGTTACTCTTAAATGTTTGTTAATAATGTCATTGATCGAGCCATATTATACAGGACCCTAGAGAATATTTACCTTTCTTAACGGAGCTTGTATCCGAAAATACATCAGCATTTTCAATTGATTCTTCGTTTTGATCTAGGTCTGAAACTGCATTTATAA